TAAATATACAACAGAATTCCTCCATAGTCTGATTAATATTTCATATTATGCTGGGATTCTGTTGTATATTTATGGGACCAGGTCAGATCTCATCCTGTCTCATCAAACATAGACTGTCTCATCACACATACATTGTCTCATCACACGCAGAATGCACCATCACACATACATTGTCTCATCACACATACATTGTCTCATCACACATACATCATCTCATCACACAAAGAATGCACCATCACACATAGACTGTCTCATCACACATACATTGTCTCATCACACATACATTGTCTCATCACACATAGACTGTCTCATCACACATACATTGTCTCATCACACATACATTGTCTCATCACACATAGACTGTGTCTCATCACACATACATTGTCTCATCACGTGCAGAATACACCATCACACATGGTCACACGCAGAATGTCTCCTCACACATTACTCGTCACATCAATAACTGTACATTAATCAATAAAAGATGTTACGTGTGACATTTAGCAAACATCACAAAAAACACTTTCCATGTCAAACGCAATGGAGCTTTACACTCTACTGTGGATACATGATACAGCAGGTCTTTTGATCAGACAAAATACATATATAAAATCACTGAGGGGAGGATGAATTCCATAAATGTTTCTATTTGACTTGCCTCATTAAAATAGTGCACTGCATCAACAAGAAAAATGTATATTAAAACCAGCTTCTACCTTCTCATCTTAACAATGTCAAGCTATTACAAACTTCATCTTCACAATGTCAAGCTATTACAAACTTCATCTTCACAATGTCAAGATATTACAAACTTTATCTTCACAATGTCAAGCTATTACAAACTTCATCTTCACAATGTCAAGCTATTACAAACTTTGTCTTCACAATGTTAAGCTATTACAAACTACATCTTCACAATGTCAAGCTATTACAAACTTCATCTTCAAAATGCCAAGCTATTACAAACTTTGTCTTCACAATGTCAAGCTATTACAAACTTTATCTTCACAATGTCAAGCTATTACAAACTTTGCTAATCACAATGTCAAGCTATTACAAACTTTGTCTTCACAATGTCAAGCTATTACAAACTTTGTCTTCACAATGTCAAGCTATTACAAACTTTGTCTTCACAATGTCAAGCTATTACAAACTTTATCTTCACAATGTCAAGATATTACAAACTTTATCTTCACAATGTCAAGCTATTACAAACTTTATCTTCACAATGTCAAACTATTACAAACTTTGTCTTCACAATGTCAAGCTATTACAAACTTTATCTTCACAATGTCAAGCTATTACAAACTTTGTCTTCACAATGTCAAGCTATTACAAACTTTATCTTCACAATGTCAAGTTATTACAAACTTAGTCTTATACCTTGACTGCTATAAGCACCTATCCTTTCACAATATGCAGCTATTTAATTGGATTATAAGCCTGTGAATACAGCCAGTCAGAGCCCTTGACAGAAAGACTTCAACAATTTTGCTGTCTGTGTAAAGCTGTGATTGACTAAATGCCTCATTTACATCTTCCGACAAGAATACAAGACTAGTAGCTATTGCAGTCAAGGTATAAGACTAGTTCATAATAGCTTGACATTGTGAAGATGTGATACAAGAATAGTGGCTATTGCAGTCAAGGTATA